ATCAGTCAATCAATCAATCAATCAATCAATCAATCAATCAATCAATCAATCAATCAATCAATCAATCAATCAATCAATAAAAAATTTTAGGGTCTTAACAGAGTCTGGTCTCCTGATGTATTTCTTCTGCTTCCCTGGCAAACCTCCTTCATCACATTAAAGTATACATACAAGAGGGAGAATCTTAGCATATGGATAGTTAAATGTGGAGCTTGTATATCAAAAACAGGAAACATAAACTCATGTATTTCTCTTTTGTGTGTGTATTTTTTTTAGCAAGAATAGACTGGGATCCATCAGACCCCCAAATCATATCTGAAGGCCTGTATGCAATCGCCGTGGTTTTAAGTTTCTCAAGAATTGCCTACATTCTGCCTGCTAATGAAAGCTTTGGACCACTACAGATATCCCTGGGTAGAACTGTCAAAGACATCTTCAAGTTCATGGTCATTTTTATCATGGTGTTTGTGGCTTTTATGATAGGAATGTTTAATCTCTATTCCTACTACCTGGGAGCAAAACAAAACGAAGCATTTACTACGTAAGTTAATGCTGCTGAAATCTGTGGATGATTCTGCTGGAAGCACTCAAGTGGATTATGCCTCACAGCTGTTTTAATGAACTCGCCATGAACAGAACATTCGTATACGAGCATGTTGTCTGTAATAGTAAAGATCTATAATTGCTTCACCAGTAACGTTTCTTAAGCTAACAGTAGTGATCAGACAAATACAAGGGAGATTTTTTTTCAGTGAAGCAATTTTGGGAGCAGTTGAATAGATTTACAAATGACTGGAGCTTTTGATTTGACTACTCATTACCCACAATCATGCATGCAAGTGTAGGAAGACACTGATCTGTGTCTGAAGCCCAAATTAGATAAGGTCAAATAGTTTCAGCCTTTTTTCCTTTCGTTATGGAAGGAAAACCCTCTAGATTTAAAAAAGAACGTACAGCATAAAAACCTGAAGCTAGCTATCTCAAATTCGGCAGGTTTATTTCCTTCCTTAGGGTTTATCATGTTTTCATATTTCACACACATCAGTGCAAAGACAAAAAAACTAAAACTTCATAGCCATTTTGGTTTTTCAATGCAAGCCAGTGAGAGTATAAATTGACTCTCATCCAGAGCATAGATCCCTCTGGACTGAACTGCGAGACCTTTAATTCCTTGAACTAGCTTCCAAAATGGATGTGGCAGGAGGGCATGCAATGTGAAGTGTGAAAGCCCCTACATATGGAGCAGATGAGGAAATATGACCCATTTACATTCAGTTCTTCTTTCTCAGAAAAAAAACAATAACCTGGGAACAGTGGTTCCCAAACATACCCATTTTGATTTGTGAGAAAAACTGATGCTTTTTCTCCTGTCCTTTACCATAGTCCAACCTAGAGTGGTCTTTTAGGCCAGATGGGCGGGTATAAATCAATGAAACAAACAAACAAACAGACCCTTTTTAACCAACCCACCCCCCCACACACACACACGAAGTCTGGGATGAATCTTAAGTATGCAATGGAGATGCTCCCTGACATCTTGTCAATTATCTGCAATTAAGCAAGTTCCATGAACAGAAGAAGGATTCCAGCCAATATCTACCACAGAAATTTGTTTGAGCCAATAATTTTCTTTTCTGTATGAAAATCTTTCCTTCTCACAAATACAGTCCTTGGAATTTCACACCCTGTGCATGAGAAATAGAGGGTACTGTAACAGAGGCAAAATGTTGTTTTCTGGATTGTTCCTCCTCATTATCCTAGCCAGTCATGCCTCCTCCACTAATCTTCCATTCCATTTCCCTTTCTACTATATCTGCTTTTGTTGTTTGCCTATTTCCACTGCAGAGTTTTGAATTTCTGGTAAAAAAAAAATTCCTTTTTGCTACACAATAGAAGTACAGAGACCCACAGAAGATAATAGCTGCACGTTCCCCAGAGTCACTTAAAATTTCTATAACTCACTCAGACATCTGCAGGAGAAAGTTACAGTTACTTGAAGTTACAGACTTGTATATGCTTTCTTTTCTGCACACATACATAGCAACCAACTGAAGAGATCAACAGCAAACAAACAATTGCCTCCAAGCCAGGAAAGATAGGGGAAGAGCACTCAACAGAGTGCTCTTTGAATTCAAAGGCTGGAATTCACGATTGTTCAATGCTGGATCACGAATGATTCACTCCAGCCCAGAAAAATCCCTCTCAGTCACACAAACTACAGAAAGCATGTGAGGTTGCAAACAAAATAAACTGCTGGATAGCTCAGTGGTTTAGATATTTGACTGCAGAGTCAGAGGTCGGGAGTTTGATTCCCCACTTTGCCTCCTTGACATTACAGCTAGACTCTGTCCACAGGGTCCCTTCCAGCTCTGTAGTTTTAAGATTATTATAAAATCCCAACTATTTCCCTTCGGACAATAAACTTAGACATTGAGAAAAATGTCTATTACTTTCAGTTTCAATTAGTCCCCACCCCCACCCCACATGCTATATTTTTCTGTTGGATTTTCACAGAGATAGGAACTGGGCAGCCAGATGAACTGCATGTTTACATTTCAATGCTGTATCCCGAAAAAAAGGTTTCCTGGAGTGTAAACTATGGAGCTGAAAGAAAACATTGGCGACGTCACCTTTCAGCCCTTAGAAAAGTATTGCTTCTAGTGGTGTGCTCACCATATTATCTACTTTCACCCTTAGTCAGAATTCTCTGTGCAAAAAGAAGAACTTGTATGCACTAGGTTGTGTTTATGGGAATTTTTTGTATTTCTGCAAACTTCAGTCTCTCAGACGTAGAGTTATGGAAATTGAAAAATTAACACTTTGCTTCAAACCCCCTAAAAAGATGCAAATATATTGAAGGAAGAAAAATAAAACAGAGACAGAATTAACCATTTATAATTAGCCATTCATAATTTAAGCGTGAACAATATCATTTTAAAAACAGTGAAACTGAACCTGGACAATGCTACATTGTATGATTGATTACATTTCTAATAATGTAATGTCCTTCAGAAATTGTATTCTAAAACGTTACATGTTTTCCCCAGTGGATTTTATCCAAAAATAGGACATGATAATGGCCTGCTTAGACTTGCAAAATTGTTGACATTTGTAGTGTTATCATGACATACCAGATTTTCATTCACTATTAATCAGCTGGCGGCAGGTTGCTATTGATTTTTTTAAAGCTCTTTTATTAGAACACATTTTCATATATTTGGGTGTTTTTCTTTTAGAGTGGAAGAAAGCTTCAAGACATTGTTCTGGGCAATATTTGGACTCTCAGAAGTGAAGTCAGTTGTCATAAACTATAAGCACAAATTTATTGAGAACATTGGTTACGTCCTCTATGGTGTTTATAATGTCACCATGGTTATTGTTCTGCTGAACATGCTTATCGCAATGATCAACAGCTCCTTCCAAGAGATTGAGGTAATGTGCTGTTTATTTTTTATTATCTTTAGTTTTTACAGGTAATTTTATGATCAAGCTCTAATACTTTTTTACAGCCTCTCTTGTTGTAATCTGAATTACAGTTCGATGAATCAGGAGGAGTTGGCAGGGTGCACCTATGTATGTTTACTCAGAAGTAAGCTCCTCTTAGTTCAGAGAGATTTCCTATTCTATAAACATGCACGGCACGGCAGCCTGAGACTGCCGAAGCTGTTCCTACAAAGTCTGTAGCATCAATTTATGCTGCCATAACCCAAATGGAGTGTCATAAATATTTAATTTAAATTAATAAAAAGCTTCCTATCCACCCCTCTTCAGGTTCCGAGGCTCCCTCAGGTTCCTTTTAGCTCTGAGGCAGTTTTCGGGAGCCTTCAAATGTGAAGTGAGGACAATTTAATGGTTAAAAAAACCCACTTGCAACCATTCTAATAAAGACCACTGGCTTCAATCCAGCTTTGATTTTTTTTTTTACTATCAGTTATTCAGTTGATTTGTGTATGAGATAACAAGTTATTCAGTTGATTTGTGTATAACAGTCAGCAAAATGGACTTTGCACTTAATGTGTATATAATTACTGCACAGTATCAGTGTAGAATCTGTACCATATATCATATATTGAATTACTTGTCACACAGAACAAATTCCCTCTATGTTTTTGTCTGGTATAACGCAAGGATGGGCAAAGTATGGACCTCCATATTGGAGTGCAGTTCCCACCAGACTTCAGAATTAGGGAAGTAGACATTAGAATAGACATTAAGAACAAACTCCATGTTGCAGCTGTTTGACAGCAAAATGAACTACATCAGAAAAGGATGGGCTCTCCTTTGTAAGATGTTTTGAGAACTGAGTGGACAGCTAGGTGTGAGGGCTGCTCCATTATAGGACTTACCAGTTTTGTTCACCCGGGGACCACTTTCCTGCACCTGGAATCCTCCAGGCATATATGGATTGCAAACCAAGAAATGAAAATAACCAGAAATGAAATTTGACAAGCCTATAAACCCACGTACATGCACCAGTAAGGTTTTCTGCTTCATGGACATTACGCTGGATGTTGTCCAGCGATTCAAAGATCATAGAGCATTCTATGATTCTTCTGTTTCAGATTATCACTAATTAAATGTTTTCTCTGCCCTCCAGGATGATGCCGATGTGGAATGGAAGTTTGCAAGAGCAAAATTATGGTTCTCCTATTTTGAGGAGGGTCGAACGCTCCCAGTACCTTTTAATCTAGTGCCTAGCCCCAAATCTCTGCTGTACCTCTCACTCAGAATAAAGAAACTGATTTATAAATTGTTAGTTTGCCATAAAAAGGGCTTCAAGGAAGATGCTGAAATGAATCAGGTAATTCTACATTAGAATAAGCCATAGCATCCAAAATGTGTAAATAAACGTAGGTGATTCTTGATGTAATGGGGGCTACTGAAGTGATTGAGCCCTTCTGTCAATCTGCTTAAGTTTCTCTTCCTCTTCTCAGGTGAGAGCCTTACATATTTAGCTAATCCTAGTTGATGAAGTTGGTTTGCCAAACTAGCTTCATCAAACAATAGAATGATCTAGCTAGGGGTGGGGGTTTTTTAAAGATACTTGAGGATGTTTTGCTTGTATCAATCTCAGCAGGTTCGAAGTGATATTTCTATAGTGTCATAACTATACTGAGAATAGCAAGTTAATGACATTTTTTTAAAAAAAAGCTAAGCTAATTTCCTTAATGTTTCACTACAGTTATGGTCTAGTATCAATGGAGTTCTGCTATCCTCCTGTGACTTACATATATTACAGAGCATATGCTAACCAGGGCATGCAGGGAACCTGCCTATTTATTTCTATAGGAGATACTCACTCTGTAGAGTATATTTAATTTCTGTGCATTCCTGGCCTTGCTCTCTTTAGTGATAAAACAACTGCACAAACTGATACCCAGCAGGGTGGCATAACATGTTGACTCGTTGCATTAAAGTGCAACTTTATAATCCCCTGGGAAGATGTCCAAGGATTCTTAGCATTTGTTGGGTCTACAGTAACAAGAGAAGTCCAGCCTTATAGAGCCTCATGGCATAGTGGTTGAACTGTTGTACTGCAGCCAAAACTCTGCTCATGAGCCGGGTTCAATCCCAGATAACCGGCTCAGGGTTCACTCAGCCTTCCAGCCTTCTGAGGTCTGTAAACTGAATACCCATCTTGCTGGTAAGGCAATGTGTCGCCTGCATAATTAAATTGTAAATTGTCCTGAGAGTTCTTTAAGCAGTATGGGGCAGTATATGAGCAGCATCCCTTGTTTTGCTTTAAAGAAGGAGGACTATGGAGAACCCCCCCCCCGAGACATGAAAAATAATCTGAGGCTGATCCTAGAGTGTGGAAAGAATCATACAGGGAGTGCCAGGGGCTGGACTGGGCTGGGCCAAAGCTGTGGATTCAAATCTTTCCTAATCCTCAGATGCAATACTGAGTGGGTTCCTGACCTATGGCAGCTCTATGTCAATTCTTATCCATTGGAAGAGGGCATTTGCAAATACAAAAACAGTAAATCATTGGGGACAGAAGAAAAACTGAATTTTCTGTTCCTCCCTGGCAGCATGACTCTGAGAGGGCTTTGGGAGAGTTTGGTTTGCTCTGTCTCTTATGGATTTGAATGTGTATCCCACTGAGGATAAAGTTGTATTGGCAGATATCACCCTTCTCCATTGTTACCTTTAACATGTGCCTTGTTAACATGTTAACATTACCTTTAACAATGCCTTGCACATGAAACATACAATGGTTTTCCCCAATGCAAAGTAAAATTTGGTAGAATCAGATATAAGGGAAGTCCGGGGTAATTGTTTACATAAGCAGGACAAGAATATTGACAGTGGGAGATTACTGTAGCATCCCTAGGTGGAAAATGGTAGTGTATACTTGTCAGATATTTGCAGCTGATGGGAGTAGTGGAAAACTATATATGGGTGCAGTTGGAGAGCAGCAGTGAGTCTGTAGCCAGTGTTGGATTGTTGCAAATAAGGTGATAGAAATGAGGGGTGAGGGTTCAAGGCATTGCTCTCTAAAAGTTCTTCCACTCCGGTCTGTTTTCACCCTTGATTGGCAAAGTTAAAGCCAACATGTAGGAATGTGGCTCTCTTTCTTTATTAAAGAGTTCAGGTTTGAACAAATGTGCATCTTCATAGTGAATGCAATTCATCCACTTTAATTGGATTCGCTCCAGTGGGTAAAATGAATAGCTATTACTTACCTGTCAACCCAGGAAATTGGCAATGAAGTACAATACTGGTGATATAATGCTTAGTTCTTCACCAGATCCCTTTGAATCAATAGAGATTTAGGAGTGAGTACATTGTGCCGCCAAGTGGCCATTTTGTGCAGTGCTGCATCCCTTATCTTACTTATTGCTTGATTTTACAAAACTGAGATGCAGAAATCCAGAGTTACTACTCTAACATGCTTACTCATGCAAGTAAGTGCTAACATGAGTAGTTGCATTGACTCCAGGTTTACCTTCTTGCAGCATTCTACAACCAGAGTATAATCACTGGGCTGTGTTTTAAGCTTTCCCCCTCCTTTAGTACACCTTCCAGGGCATGTTTTAATTCTGCAAGCCTGGACATTACCCCAAATGCACTTTTTCAGGCACATAAATAACAATACAGTCTGAACATGGGAAAAAATGAGAAAGAGTACTCAAATATTCTGCCAAAATAAATGACAAGAAGGGGAAGAATGTTGGATTTATCTACAAATCCTTGCTTCTTGCTACTTTTCCCCCTTTTGTTTTACAGTTAAGCCAACGTAAACTATCAAGTATAAAAAGCATAGATGACCTCAACTTAAACAGTTTAAGTAATCCCCAAAGGAAGTACCAGGTAAGGTTTAGATTTTACCAGATTGTGAAGCTGGAAGGCATATGGAAACCAACTGATCCAGTCTAAAATGTTGTTCACAGTGCCATGAACCATTAAACTTTGTGCCTTGTTTACCACATAATTTGCTTGTCATTGTTGCAGAACAAGTCAAACAGCATAAAATACACTAATCTTTATACGAATCATACTATGATGTGGGTTAGGTAGCAGTTGGAGGAGGGGATTTGAAAAGTAGAATGGAGGTACAACCAGCCAACTGGAGGATTCTGAGAGTTGTTATCCAAAAGTAATTTTTCTAAGCTGTGGGAACAACTGCCCCAGCACACTAGTCAGGAAGCCTTATATGTTTAAAATAAAATATTGAATGATTTGGTTATTACCCCCAGAATTTTTCCTAAAGTTTGAACACAATGGTTATGTCTTAGTGCAAGGGGTTAGTTTGCCAGCAACAAGCAGTGGAAACCAGCAGCACTTCACAACTGCTTACTACCACTGAGTATTAATGTAGTTGGAGGGGCAGACCCTGCTGTTTGACAGATAGACCTTACACAGTGACAGAGGGCTACCTGGATTAAATGTGATCCTGACTCTACTACCTCCTTCTTCATCATTTGCCCCTTTACAATGTCAGCTAGTGATGACACTGGAATCCACTGTGATGAGGTAGGCAACTTTGATGGGGCTGAGGGCCACATTTTGATGTCCAGCATTCTTCCTCCTGCAGTCCGATGACAGGTCCAGAAATGGATTTTTAAAAGGCAAAGAAATCCACAGTGGTTTGGGGGGCAGGTTTGAAGAGCCCTGCAGCTTTTCCCATTTAAAGCAAAATGAACAAAGACCTGCGGACTTTTTGTATTTCCAAAGCATTGTTTTTCTGCCCAAGAGACATGCGAGTGAGGACTCCATGGGGCTGCAAAAGCAGTTGGGGACATGTTTTGCCCATTCTAAATCTTAGGTCCTAGGTTTTTAGATGTTAGGGCATAAATCCCATTTAACTCAATAGCACCTCTGAGTTTAATCTGTATCGTTGAGTTGAGTTTTGAATTTTGGGCAGCAGTCTTTTGTACAGTTACTTGAGAGCGAACTCTGTTTATCTGTAAACTGGCTAGGTATCAGGATATACTAATCAATACTGCTATTGTTTCTCTGCTTTCCTGTCCTAGAAAATTATGAAACGGCTTATTAAACGTTATGTGTTGAAAGCTCAAGTAGACAAGGAGAGTGATGAAGTAAATGAAGGTGAGTTTCTAAAATTGATCTATTCTGCATATTGGGCAGCATAACTGAGGGTGCTAGGTGATTGTGTGTGTGTGTGTGTGTGTGCATGCATGCATGCACACTTTTTTACAATGGAGTAACTACAGGGAGTCAAAGGACTCCACATTAAAAGGTTTCCAGACAGACTTGAGTCATTGTATCTCTTTCTAGGCTTTTTAAAAAAAAACTTGCAGAGATGCAAACAGAAAGGCAATGACATCGTTCCTAAAATACAATAATACAGTGATTAGATGCTGTAGAGATGGAGATATTAAGTCTTTTTCTGCTTTGTATCAGTTTTGTTTATGTTTGTATGCTTGTTCTATGCCATTTCCACATAATCTGCATTTAAAACACACATGTGAAAGCACGCATTTAAATCCAAGCACCCCTGTACACACTATGTGGTCAGGAATTTATCCTGCATTACATATTTTGGTATAGTTTTTGAGCAAAGAACTGTGCCACAAGATTTGGGGAACTGTAAAAACTTGGGAGAGGGTAGCTACATCCTTATTCATATGTTAGTCCTGTAAGTGTGAAACTGGTCAGTTTGTTTGCTTAAAAATAAGTACCAATAGAAAGCCTCAATCTTCAAGATTAGTGAAGATTGTTGTAGCGTTCTCCATTTATTAGGTCTATGGTTCTTGTTGTATTATGTAATGGTTTATGAATATTCATATTGCTGTGAGGTCGAGCCGAGAGAGATGCTATAAAAGTCAGAGTCAGAGAGTCAAGAGCAGATTAAGTCAGATGGGGTCAGTTAGAGAAATATAAGAGTCAGGCAGGAGAGAAAAGCCAGACAGAGTAATAGAGTGGGTAGTTTGGGAAATTTAGATGTGATTAGCTACTGAAGATATTTATGAATCTCTGTAATCAATAAACCAAAGTTTTATTTAAAAGAACTTGAAGTGTGGACCTGAAGCTTTCTGAAGTCATGGTGATTTAGAGATCACCTGGTGGCAGCAAGTGTAAAAGGAGAGAGTGTTTGCCTTTGTATGCTCTGAGGCTTGACGGTCAAGTAAGGGGCACGAGGGTGAACGCCACAATTGTGTTTCAGACATCCAAGTTATACACCCACAAACTGGGTTTCCCCCGGGAAAGCGCTCTTAGGCAGCTGGCTTGGGAAAACCCAGCCTTCACCAAGCTTGGAAGGATTGTAGAAGACAGTCAGAGGAAGCACTCCTGTAACTCTAGGTGCCTAGGGGCTGTTTTACAGCCCAATGAATCAATAAATCAAAAATTGCTAAAAATTCATTGATTTGTATTTGTCAGGGCATTGATTCGTATGAATACGAATTGACAAATTAACAATTTTTGAATGAATTTGGTGAGCCTTTTTTTAAAAATTTGTGCCCATCTCTAATGATAATATTCAGCTTTAATACTCAGCTTTAACCCTGAAAAGTGTGGTCTTACATCATCTTTTCTTCTTCTAACCTTTGATAAATCAGTTTCTGTCACACATTCACCTCTTTCTTTCTCTCTCTCATAGGTGAGCTGAAAGAAATTAAACAGGACATCTCAAGCCTCCGGTATGAGCTCCTTGAAGAAAAATCACAGAACACAGAAGACCTGGCAGAACTAATCAGAAAACTTGGAGAAAGACTGTGTATTGAGCCAAAACAGGAACAAAGTAACAGATAACGTGAACTTTCTTCTGAAAAGACCAGGAAATAAAACTTCAAGTTGACTAGTCCAATGAAAGCCATATCTCCTCAATTATATCCTCAGATATAATTGACACATTTGCAGCAGATAACAGATGCAGACACATTCTGAATGGATTTTTTTTTCATTTTCTTCTCTTCTGGTCACTGGGGGTACCAGCTGTTTGCATAGTCCTGTTTAATACCTTCTGCAGAGGAAAAACTTGGTCTTTTAAAAATAGAAAGGACATAAAATATGGTTTGAAAAACTGTATGATTAAAGGTTTTCAATGTCAGTTCTATTGATATCAAGGAGGTCTCTCTTGATCTCCATTGCACACACACTCACCTGTGCTACCCTCTAATGTAGCAACATTTATCTGAGTATATTCCACTGAAGTCAATATGATTTATAAATAAATTATTTAGAAATAGAGTGTTGACTACTTTTTTAAACCACTGTTTCTTTAGCTAAACAGAAACAAACTGCAATTGTAATGCTTTAAATTGTGGGAAAGAACATCCAGTACTTTTCCTAGGATGGACCAGATGAAGTTTCAATAGAAGAACGCAATTGAAAACTATGGCGTTGACATGGCATTACAGCTTTTTATCCTGGAATCTTGATATAAGCACCTTGAAGATACAATATCTATAGTGCAAACCTATTTAATTGTGATGGTTTTTCCAAAAACAAAATCTGAAAGGAGGATGCTAAGATCCCTAGTCTTCTTTTCACAGAATGATTGTCCACAGCATTTCTTGGAAGAGGGCTAACCGAGTTTAAATCTTGCAGTGCAGATATCTCCAAGGGTGCCAAAAGTCTTGGTATGATACACATACCACACAAAAAAGTTCCACTGCCAAGTAGAATAAAATCACACTTAAGATGTGTTAACTGCCTTGACCATGTTTGGAATTTTTGTCCGGTGCATATTTCTATATTTAGATACCAGCTTTTGATTTATATTCCTGACCTGGTATGATCAGGAGGCAGTGACCTTAAGGAGCTGCCTTATATACCAAGTCCCTTCCTAGCCCTTCAGTTGTGTAGTAATCCTGTGGTGGACAAGTGATTGCTAAAGAGCAAACCTACTTGCAGTCATGGGCAATATATTATTGCAGGCTGACTATCTACCCCCAGGTACTGGCATTGCCATGATAGGAATCATGTATAACTAAGCCTGTCTTCAGTCACTTCCTGGAACATAAAGTCACAACCCTCCATTCAAAAAATTCATGATGTGTTGGTAGATACTAAATGAAATTCAAATTTAAAAGGGTGATACCACTAAAATACTATAAAAGTTAAAAAATGAACATAATTCAAAAAACCATATCATGGCAAAAGCAACGTAGTTAAAAGACTGAATCAAAATGCCTTGACTTTGTACCATATAACTTGAACATTTTTAAGTCAGAAACTTTAGTACTATTTCACTGTTCCGTGTGCATTTCTTGTATGGCACAATCCTACTTTTCTATTGGCAGGACATCCAGTGAGGTATCTGGAACAAGAAGATATATTTGGGTATAACTTGATAAATATGTGCAGGGACAGATCCTTCAGTCACCAAAGCAAAGCTTTGAACTAAACATGTTACTTTAGGGTTAATGTTATTTACTTTCAAGAAGGAACACATCAACCAGTAGCATCTTTTAATGTACTCTTAAAATAGTGCTATTTGTGGGTTATTTTAGGGGATTTGGGGCTCCCAAATGCCTGTTTTTCTTAAATCTCTTTTAAAACAAGCTTTAACTTTAAACGTTTAGTATTGTGGTACCAATGCACTCTAATGAGGGGTAACACCAATGAGTTGTTTTGAAAAAGTGACAAAATCCTTTTTACAAATAACATCCCGAATAGCTATACCCAAGCCAGATAGTTAAGCCTAGCCGCCTCATTTTCTCTGTCCCTCATGTGTTGTGTTTTCCCAAAACTGAGGTTTTTAATCAACAACTGCTGTCCCCTTTTACACCCCTCCTAAAGATTTGTTCAACATTCAAATGGTTACTTAGGCTAAATTGATGTGACCTGCTCACTTTTCCGGGCACCAAGTATTTTTCCTTAGGAAGCCGCATTTCTTTGGAGAGCAGCTATCTCTTGTCATGTCCCCCAAAACACACCCAGAAGTAGTTGCTGAGGTTGCCCCCATCTCTGACCTTAGCACTCCTGCAATCCCATCCTGGCTTAAGGCCAATATGAAACTTTAAGAAGATCTGGAGGCTGTAAATAATGCAGAATGTAGCTGCTAGAAGATTAACAGGTACAGCCACATGAGATCATACCATGTGAAACCTAAGGTAGCTGCACTGGCTAGCTATTTGCTTTGAGGCTCAGTTCAAGGGCTAGTGCTTAGACAGTGCTCAGAGTAAGCTGGAGTAGGGGTCTGGATAAGAGTGCTAGATTAGGACTCAGGAAATCTAGGTGCAAATCCTTGCTCAGACATGAAAACCCTTGACCGTCTCACCTATCTCACAAACTCTATTAAGATAATCATAAGTTGGAAGCATGTTGAACACCCATAACTACTTAACTGAAAATCTTAAGGCCTCTTGATAAAGAAACACATCTTGTATTTTTCTTCAAATGAATAATGCAAGCTGTTCATAAGGTGCCTTTTATTTACTGCAGGATGGTTGAAGAGACAGTTTTCTCTCTTGTAGTACCTCATTTCTAGAATACTCTCCTCATAGAGTTATGATTATTGTTGGTACCGGAATCATTTTTGATCCACTTCAGACCTTTTGTATTTTCCAAGGCCTGGGAAGGTGGTCAGTCAGTTTTAGGAATTTCTAAAAAAACTGTTTTGATTCATATTTTATTCTTTTTATATTCTCATTATTCACTGACATTTGATGAAGGCTGTTTATAAGTATATAATAGGTATATCAGCATCTCACTTGTCCTGTAGCTTTTGGGGTTTTGGGAACAAGATCAAGAGGTGTCACACCGTATTATAAACAGTTGCAGATCTTAGAAATACCACCACCAGAGCTACAAAAAATCAGCAATATTAGGAACAGCATACACACTGTGTTGATATTTAACAGACACTTAGGGTTTTTTGTTAGAACTTGTATCTGTTATGTAATACCAGTCAATGTTTTTATAATTTTGATTGATTGTGGAGAAGATAAAAAATACCCTGTAAGCAATTAATGCTGATGCTTTCCATTTTTGTTTCCGCAGTGTAATAGAAGACGGTAGACAGTTTTTGCCTTCTCACTTGGCAGTCATTCATATCCTTTATATCAGTGGTCCCCAACCTTGGGCCTCCAGATGCTCTTACAGATCTTACCCCTCCTCTGTATGATTGCCTTTCAAATATTTGAAAAATGCTATCATATCACCCCTCAGTCTTCTTTTCTCAAGGCTAAATATGCCCTGTTCTTTTAGTCTTTCCTCCTAGGGCTTGGTTTCCAGTCCTCTAATCCAGTGATCCTCAACCTTGGGCCTCCAGATGTTCTTAGGACTACAACTCCCAGAAGCCTTCACAACTACCTCTGCTGGCCAGAATTTCTGGGAGTTGACGTCCAAGAACATCTGGAGGCCCAAGGTTGGGGACCACTGATTTATATCATTACTTTATCCAGTGATTCCCAACCTTGAGTCCCCAGGTGTTCTTGGACTGCAACTCCCAGAAATCCTAGCCTGTACAACTAGTAGTGAAGGCTTCTGGGAGTTTTAGTCCAAGAACATCTAGGGACCCAAGGTTGCTCTATGCCATGTGGTGTGAATAAGCATCAGCAAGCCAGCATGAATCCAGCAAAGTTTTAAGAAAGCCAAAGACCTTGGAAGAAACAGTCTCTGTGTATATCCATTATCCTTTCTTGACAAGTGGCCTACCTCAAAGCCTCTCCCTCTCCACTCTTCAGAACCCATTCTTTGTGGTTCAGAAAGGTAGCCTGTTTCAGCAACAATGGAAACAAAATTCTCATGGCACTTTAAAACTAACAAATGTATTTCAAGGTGAACTTTTGCAGATTACCATAAACCCAGAGTACAATAGCTGAGCCACAGATGCATAGAGAGTGTACATGAAAAATGGGTAGAAGAAGGACCAGGTGAAATTAAAATCATGTATTAACACTCAATGATGAGTTTCCCAAGGTGGCCATGGCCATGTTGTGGGAACTCTGAGCTACAGAATGTCTTGAATACAGACCTAGATATCTTTGTTTGTGGGTGCACAGGTATGCACACTTGACTATTCAATGAATCACAATTTTACAGGTAAGCAACTTGTTCTTTTTTTGACGGTGGAGGAAAAGCACCCTGGATGTGTCTAGAGTCACTCTTCCTGTCACTTTTGCTGCATATTTTCATGATGTGAATCCTGACATTTACTTGCTGGTTTATTTTATTTTAGAAGCTTATATTACCAGTTTGTAAAAAAAAGAAAAATTACTCAAAGCAGTTTACTAAGAAAACTATCACACATTATTTAAAAGCATATGTAACGCAAACAGCAATCCTTGAAAGGAAGAAGAAAAAGGGCAGCTAAACTTACCAAGTAGGAGAAAAAAATGAAATCAAAATTATAGATAAACATCATTAAACAAATTAAGCCAAAAGGTGGAATTCAGCTAAAAGCCTTCTAAAATAGCCTGGTTCGAGCCTTTCCTAGGACTTGTTCAAAATGTCGGAGATGATGTCGGGAAATTTTTTTGCATGTACTGTATCAATGAGGACTAAATTTGATTTTGTCATACACATGTAGCATGCAGCTGATCCTCACTTTCTTCTATACCTCCAAGTTGGGAAACGGCCATAATGGTTCAGTGCCCAGCATCTCCAGATAAAGCTATGGAAGAATTCTATCAAAACCCCTGAAACGTACAGCTTGTCAATTTTGATAGTACTGAGTTAGATAATAAGGGTGTGGCATCAATAATTTGGAGATTTTTTTTTTTTTTTGGACTTGCAGAATTTTCCTAGAATTCCCTAGGGCAGAATTCTGGAAGCTTCAGTCCACAGACCCATACCTACAGATGGCAATATTTTGCTCACCTGGATCGAATTCTAGATATGAAGATGGCTCTGAGGCCTCTATTTCCTCCTGCAATGCTTCCTGGGAGGAAGCTTTCATATTGCTTTCTAGGAGTGGCGATTTCACTCACAGAAAGCAATGCAGCAGCACAAATGCAGTCCAGTCTCAGTGGCTTGGAAGTTGGTCAAGCTGGTGGGTCTCTAGAAATGGTTCCGTGGGCCAAAAGGTTTTCCTAGAGGAATTCTGGGAGAATTCTGGAAGCCACAGTCCAAAAAGGAAAGGAAAAGGAAAAAAAAAAGAAAAGCAAACCCAAAATCAAATGGTAATATCTGTAGTAGATAGACCTACTCTGTGACCAGCTTTCTACAAGTGATGAAAGACCCACTGCATGCCATGAGGGGAAATTTAAACCTTCCCCTCCTTCAGCCAGTTTCTTCCCT